CCAGAACTCAACTTCCTTTTCCTTAAAACAATATTATATGCACATTTGTATGCAACTGAATTCCCCAAGTGTATTGTGTGTAATATCTTATTTATTGTTTGTCTGAGTCTCTCTCTCTCTCTCTCTCTCTCTCTCTCTCTCTCTCTCTGTGCTTGTGTGTGTGTGTGTGCGCGCTTGTTCATAAATGCCAGGATTGGGTCCTGATGTGGCCAATTGCAAGATCCAAATACCAAGCTAGTCAAATAACGTCTAGAGAGACTTGTTTGGTGGTTTGTGAATCACCCTAGGTTGAAAATAAACTTAAAAAGAGGTCAAACGAGCTTAACAATGGTCAAAATGCAGGTCGCCTAAATTCAACAAAAAACAAGGCCAAAAACCTCTCAAAACAGCCTATATTTGATAAATGAGAATTAGAATGATAGCTTGGCTGTGAAATATCACATTTTTGAATGGATTAAAATCCGTTGTGTGTGTGTGGAAAAAATTCATACATATATATAGGGAACGATTTTATGTCACCATGTCATTTTAATAATAAAATTACACTTCTAGAAAACCATGTTTGTGTCATTTGTATGACCCCAAATTTTGCAAGTAACATTTCTTCATCCCAATAATCAATCTCCAAAAAAATAAAATTCAGTTTGAACTCTAGATATGGTCAAAATGAGTATCCTCCAACAACCAATCTAGACAACCCATAGGTGAATTTCAAGATCTAGGCCTTTACGAGTTAAAAATCAATTTTTTTTTTTTAACATTGTTAATCTAATGAGAATAAAGTTATACGAAAATTTGAAGAGGAAAAAAAAAATCCTTCGAAGGTCTAGATCTAAGCATCTCATTAAAACGGACGGCCCGTATTAATTGGGCTCAAAAAATACTTTCTAGGGTGTGTTGTCAAATTTTACCTTTTTGTGATAGTTCATTACATTGGAAAGGGTATGTATTTAAAAATTAGGGCCAACCAAATGGGCCTAACATAGTTTTTGAAGATTTTTATATTATATTACTATAGAACCATCGCATGAATTCATTCCCCTATGTATGTATGTATGTATGTATGTATGTATATATATGTGTATGTATGTGTGCGTGTATGTATGTCTGGGTATGAGTGTGTGTATGTGTGGATGTGCGCTTGTGACGTCTTGGAAAATGTTTTGATGTTTGTCATTGTGTCTTTTGAAGCACAGGCATCATAGTTTTCTGTGAGTCATTGCATCCTGAATCTGCATATGGCAGTTCATATATCTAAATGTATCTACATGCAAGAGTTTTCCATAGTATGGCTTTATGCTCTTTGTTTTTTGCTCAAGTTTTACTTTGTATGATGCTGCAGTACATCATGAAGAAGTTACTTGAGGATATGGTCTCAATATTCCTGACCCCTTACTTGCTCATCTTCTTGGTACCCAAGGTGTGCTTCCTTCCCATTTGTTGCATTTATCTTTCGTCTAGTTCTCACATGTATCAGTCCTCTTTATTTATTTTAGGGCTTGATTACTTTCCATATATTAGTCACATTAAATATGGAAGAGGGAAGTATAATCCTGAGGGCAATGGGAAAACCTTACGCCAATGGGTCATTTGTGGTAAAATGAAATGGATGTTGTGCTAGGGAGAAAGGGGGACCCACTACAAGAAGACACCAATCCAATGGTGGGTCCGACTCCCCCTCGATCTTCCTTTACATTATGGATGGTTGTGAACCAATGGTCTATGGCTATTTTGTATTCTTTAGGAGTACACTTTCCCTTATTCAGATGCTCATAGATACTTACAGTTATATCACTATACGGACACTGGGAATTTTACATTAAAAAATAATGACAACGATTTAATGTACCTTGAGCTTTTGAGCTTTGGACTATTTCCTACATAACTAAGCTGAACAGATTTCTACATTGCTCTGCAGCGTGTGTAGATGATATCTTGAAGTTCATTTCATACTTCACTGTGGATGTGGAAGGTGTCAGTCATGTTTGCAGGTTCTTGATTTGTTTTGCATGTGATTTTAGTGAGTGGTTGACGTTTTTATGTTGAAACAATAGTTAATTATACTACAATCCAATGGACTTCAGAAAAATCGTAGTGCATTGGGTCATCAATGTCGGCAATGGATGGAGAACAAGACCTCCCAAAAAGTGCATGAGCCCTGTGGTGGGTCTTGCTTTCGCTCCATCACTATCTGTCATTTCAATTGACAGAGTTGAACCATTGGAGTATGATTTTTCCATCGTTCATTGGACTGTATCATACTCTCCTATCAACAGTGTCTTCCAAAGAGTTGGTTCATTTTTTGTATTGGCAGCTAAAACTAGTATGGTTCACCTTTCCATGCTACTCGGGAGTTGAGGAGCTCTCAAGGGAAAATGGAGAAATCGTTCTTAAGGTATGCCTGAGGATTTGAATAGGACACAAATCTTCCAATCTATTGAGTTCATTCTCCAACTTTCTTTTTAACCTCTCCAAAATCAGGTTAGGTTTACTCATTTATATGAACAAGTTAAACACCTTTCATATTCAATTTCCGCCAAGAGACACCTAAGATGGAGACCCATCGGCCCTTGTATAATAATAAAGGGACCTTTGGACCTAAGTAGATATATTTCTCTGAAACTATGAAGGCGTGCTGTAGGACCCAACTATATGCACTTTTAGGATAATAAAGGGTAAAGCAATGTCAGTTTCATTTATTCACCTTGTTAGTGCTTCTTGCTTCGCTTGATTGTGTTTTTTTTAGTTTTTGTGTTTTCATTGTCAGCTTCAAGAGTGGCTACCCTAGCTGGGTGCCAAGTCTTCATGGTAACCAACTTCTATCTATTCTCAAGGATTTCTGGCAACAAATGATTGAGACCCAAATACAAGCTTTGCCTTTGTCTCTTCATGGTTGACCCTCAATCACATTCTCAAGAATCCATGTTGGAGTGCCCTGGGAGAGCAATCTCCGTAGGTGGGCTCTACCAATGTCAGGCTTACCTCTACCTATGTGTCACATGACTTCACCATGGATGATGGCTATAGATCACAGGGATCACCATTGCCTTCTTGATTACTACTACAAGTCCAGGTGCACTTCCTCTTGTGCAATGAAATAACCAAAATACACACCACCTGAAACTACAGACCTTCCTAGTGAAACAAGGTTACACATGGGGATGCCTTATTACCATACCCATCATGAAATGGGGCATAATGAGAAGTTGGGCTTTTTATCAGAGGATCGGGTTGAAAGTCACATGGCTGCTAGTACGAGCACTGCCTTCCGTGATAGCATGCTACGACAAAGGGACACCAGTCAGTTGGGGATTCGTGGGGAGACCCCATGGTGGGCACGACCACACCGGAAATATTCCGGGCCCCAAAATAGCTTCCTTGAGCCCCTGAGCTTTGTGGACCATGGTATAAGCACCAACACGATAACATATCAGAGAGGAGTGAGGATGAGGTGCAAAATGTGGGATCACCTCTTAGAAGACCGAGGGCTTATCCATGTTTCAGGGCACATGATAGCTTTCTTGATCCCCTGAGCTTTACTGGTCGTGGTATAAGTAACCAATGTCATAATTTATCAGCGATGAGAGAAGAAGAGTTTCAAAATGTGGGATCACCTCCTAAAATGTCAAGTTTTCGGACAGATGTGAGGTTACACAATTCCTTTCATGATTCTTCAAGCATTATGGATATGAGTATGAGAATTTCACATAATGGCTTGTTGGGGAGGAGGGGGGAAGGGGTGGAAGATGGACAGTTGCGTTTTGGAAGCTCAAACGAGGTTGGAAGGGCTTACTATGCCCAAGGTGAGAGAGAGAAATTTGAGAGATCACATCTCCCATATAACAATGTTTACAGGGATGCAGAAGATGAGAGGGGTCCTCACCCATTCAAGAATGTGTACGGGAGGTCGCTTGATGAGAGAGAAAGATGGGGCATTCCATCTTCCATTCAATGATATTTATAGCAACCGCAGTGAGGAAAGAGAAAGAAATGAGGGATTTTACCTTCCGTTCAAGGATGTTTACAGAAATCCATTGGACATCTCTGAGGTAAGAAACAAAGATTCAGTGGAGGATGGGTTATGCTGATGTGTACAAGTTTATCTATTGTTGTCTTGCTTCCTTTTCAAGCTCTTCATTTATCAAGTCATTGATGTTGATGGAGGATGGGAAATGGGCTGGTGTTTGCATCGCTCATGGATTCAAGGGAAGGTTTTAGTCCCTTGGTCCCGCGTCAAATGCACCCAGTGGGTGTCTGAATCCCAACTTCACTATTCTTTTGTACAGAAGTGTCAATGTGGAAGCGCATTCAATGTGGAAGCCCATGATGAGTATTCTAAGCTCCTTGTAAAGTCTCTTTCTTATGGTTATTTCTGGTAGGTGGAAGACATGGTATGATTATTACAAAGATACAATACAATGAGTCCTACTTAACTGTAAATACAATCATTCTTTGCCAATGGCATTCCCTTTGTAGGAATTGAGCCTAGGATGTAGCATTGCAAATCGTCAAGCGCTAACCAATTAAGCCACGACTCTTTTCCTGATTTACATGGAGAGACATATCCCATTTGAACATAATACCAAACTTTAGAGAAGAATTTTTCAAATTATATATCCCTTCTTGCCTCCCTTTCTCCTCGTACTCCGCAATCTGTATCAACCTAGGAGCCTTTACTCTTCGACATCCGGGAAAGTCTCACAACCTACCTTTCCATCCTAGCTCCAGTCTACCTTTCCCTCTTCCTAGGCCGCCTCTAATCCCTTGCCCCACCTCCCAGGTTAGTCCAGACTTCTTCAAGCGTCCTTCCTCAACTCCCCTTCCAATTCCACCTTAGGAGTAATTGGCTCCTTTACTCCCCCCTATTTCTCTGCCCTTAACCATAACCCCAAATGAACCCACCGAGGTAGTCTCACAGGCCCCCCCTTCAACCCGACCCTTCATATTCCTTTGAAGGGGTTGACAAAGCTCAAAGGGATATCACAAAGTTCTCAAGGTGATGAGCTTCCAATATGATGGGCTTGATGCAGATACCAACATTTCTCAACACAAATGCTGAAGCTAGATCCAGAGTATGTGCCAAAGGTAAAAGAGAGATCTTCAAATCTTGCCTTCAGAGTTAGATATGGACAGTGGATAAAAAACCAACCTCTTGCCTTCTTTATGCCTCCACCTGCTTGGCTGATCAACTACTAAGGCGCCCCTTCTCTTCTTCTGACCCACCCCAATGAAAAGTGTCACCTGGAATATTCGGGGTGTGGCAGGCCCCGATGAGCGCAAGGCTATTTGATCATTCAGCAAGAAATGTCTCTCCTCTATTTTGGCGATTATTGAAATGGAGTTACCTCAACCTTCCTTACCCTAGATTCAACAAGTCTAGGGCCCAAGGCCCCGGCAATTGGAGGCTGATGGAGCTCAAGTTGCTTTTGGTGGGATCTAGGTCATCTTTGATCCAGCTTTCCATGCTCTTTGCTCTCATGTAGCTACTTTCTCCATCTCTTTAGCCTTCTCTCAAATCTCCAACAGTATTGCCAGGAAGTTCACAGCAGTCTACAGCCCCAACTCTGTAGACCTTATGGAATATTTTTGAAAGAACTTGATTTTGTTGGTTCAATGGTCCTGGCAACATGGTATGTTGGTAGTGACTTTAACATCCCACACTTTGAGCGAAACTCCAAAGAGAGAGTCTCAACTTCTCGAACTTCATTTCAGGAATAAGTTCATTGACATTCCTCTTAATGATGTGGATTTCACCTAGTCAAACCACTCTTCTAAATCCTTTGATATCTAAGCTTGATAGATAGCTCACAAGCACCCTATGGGATGCCTTGTTTCCAAGCACCTACTTTGTCGCCCTCCCAAAACCCACAATCGACCTTAGGCCAATAGTCATAAACAGTCAGTCGCAAGAGGGCCTAAACCTTTCCATTTCAAGCTTGCTTGGCTTGAAGAACCAAATATGGCTCCTTCTTTTAAGCGAATAACTTGACTTATTTGCTCTCCCTGGTTCCAGCTTGGTAGGAGAGTCTTTCTCAGTTCAAGTCAAGGGCTAGGCCAGATTTCAACTCCAGTGGAAACTCCAACTACTCAAAACCTAGAGTCAACTACCAATCAGAAGTTCCAAAATTCAGTAAGACTCTCTACTCCAAACCATAGATAGTTGGGGCATTGCTGAGGAGAGTTGAACTCTGAACTCAGAGCAGAGAAACCAAAGAACCCAAGCAAAGCTTGATTACCAGCTCATCCTCTAGAAGGAAGAGATATCTTGGTTCCAAATATCCAAGATAAAAGTCTTGAAACTCGGGGATGTTAATACTAGGTTTTGCCCCAAGATCGCAAATTGCAGAAGACGTGATAATACCATCTCTCAAATTATGGTTGGTGAATGTCGCTTTAATAAGCTTCTCCAGGTGGAAAATGCCATTATTGGCTTTTTCAAGAACCTTTTCACAGCCCCTTCTGGGCCCAAACCAAGGATGGGTGACCTGTTTTCTTGTCCATCCCCTCTAACAAAGTGGCATGGTTAGAATGCCCCTTCTCTAAAGAGGAGATCCTCGGAGCCATTAAGCAGTGTTAAAAAATTCGGCTGCCCAGCTGCCTAGACGGCTGCCTAGGAGACCAATTGCCTAAAATTCCTACGCAGAACCTAGGCGGCTTGTGTCTAGGCGGCCGTCTAAGTGGGGAAGGCGTTGCCTCGATGCAAGTTGTCGAGGGCGGAAAACTGCCCTCGGCTACAGTCAAAACAACACCCCCCCCCCTCCACCCGCACCCTCTAAAATGCAGGAAAAGTGTATTGCGAGACATTCTAAACCCCCAAAACCAAATCTGTGCTATCTAGATACAGAAAGACACCTCAAATACCTCTATTTTGTGATTTATCAAAAGATCAATAAATTTTTGATTTCCCTGAATCCAAGGCAATGCTTTGTGGTAGTTTTCGGAGCTTCTAGTGGTGAATAGTGAGGACTTTTTGTGATCAAATAGATGAGGTTTGGGTTTACATCAATTTCATTTTGATTTTTTTAGAGAATTATGCCATTATGATATTTGAATAAAGGTTTTGATTTTTTGTGCTATAACATATGATGTTTTGAATCTTTTTATTTATGTTTAGCCCTTCTTTTCCTTTTATGATATATTTACATGTTTGTAGTAGAGTTTTTTTTTAGTTGTATTAACTTGTTTGGACGATGAAATTGGTTTATATCGAAATCTTTTATGAATAATTGGTTCTTATTTTGTACAATGTGTGATGTTTTGACATCCTATTAGTTTTGTTTACTTTTTTGATATTTTTACATATTTATAGATGAAACATTTAGCGATTTGGACTTATATTTTGTGAAGAGTCATAAACATTGGATGAAGTTGATTTGTTGTGAATATTTGATGTCC